TCTTGAAGTGATCCACTTTTAGATCTTGCTCCTGCCAGCTACCTGCACCTAGAACATGGGACATGACCCTCTAGAAAGGCACCACAGAGCTCAGGTGGTTTTGTTTGATACCCCCTATAGATGATTTTTGCCTTAAGAAATCACCACCCGAAGTGGGTGGTGCTGGTATAATCAGGTACTCCATGGTACTGAGTTACGAACGGGTCGACTCCAGGTCCCTCTTGGACGTGTTCAGTTGGTATCGCTCTGGAACAAGCGATATCTCCACATCTTCGTTCGGTGTTGTGACCAAAATCCCATGGCCAGTGACCAGAGATGCTGCTTCGCCACACCCTCCAGGTCGTACCTGGGAACATGGGACGTGGCTCGAAGATGATCATCAGGTACAGCTGTACTCATTTTTCTGAGATGCGAACTGAGACTTCCCATGAAAAGTTGGTTCATTGATCGTCGCAGGACCTGGTACAAAACTGGAGAAGCTCCAGGTACCTACTTAAGGTATCCGGAAGTGGGACTCATGTGACATGCGTGTTCTTCACCAGGTCACAATGCCAGGAACAAATACCGGTAGTTGCTGTGCATTTTCACATAACGGGTCTGACCTCTTCATGCGGGTCATGCGCTTGAGCATAGGTCCTTAGGTGCATAACTCCCTGGGTTGGCCAGGACATGACAGCTTGGCCGGGCTTTGGCGGATTGATGCGTCTTTTTTGGTTTGTACATGTGTTTAACATCTGTGTTTATGGTTGTGTTTAACAATGCAAACCATTTTTTAACATGTTTGTTTAAGATGTTTTGCTTTTTTGGAGTTTTCAGGTTCAACCGGCTACATCTTGCTACATCTTGGCGAAGGTCTAGGTGTTTGTTTTGAGTTTTCTTTCAGATTACTCGCTACTCTTGGCCATTTTTTCGACAACCTGGCTTGGCTTTGGGTGATTCCCTCGTTGCAGAAGTTTGGCGCTGTTTGGCATCAACTAGACGTGTCTGATGTTTGGGAATCAAATACCTGGACCCTCCAAAGTACCTTGCAAAATGGGACCTGACCCCCCTCAAAAAAAGGGAACAACAACAGGTACTTGTACCCATTTTCTGAGCTACAATCTGAGACTTCGGGTATTTGCGGTGCTCATACGGTCCAAGTAAGTATCTCCTGAATTGCTGAAACGACTCGCATGCAGAAGCTTTGAGTTAGAGTACCAGCTCGCAGTCATGGACCGGACCCTTATGAACTTGGTAGTGATTTGAGCGAAAACATGCGAGCTCATCCGTTGACCCTCCTTCCGACCCTCCGTCCCTGTCTCCCATGGATTCCCACAGACCCGGTCACTCGACCCCAAATACCGGTCATGACCGGTGACAGCCCGACCGGTCCGTTGTCCGGATGTGCCCGGTCCGTTTTCCGGACTCAGTCAGATTGGGTGTTCCGGTTGGTAGCTTCGTGTTCATTACCAGTATACTGGCCTCCAAGCTACTTAGCGGCCTCCACCTAGATCCCAACACAAAAGACTTGGGATCCCGCAACACCGTTCCACCAAACAGGGCCTGCGGAACGCCGACCGCTCGGCCCCAGGCATCACGACTGGCGCCGGGAGATTTGCGCCTCGAAAGCGAGCGAAAGCGGCTCCTGCGGCGGAGCCGCGCGAAGCATCCAGCGTGGTTCTTGGATGGTTCCCGGGACGAAAGAAGAAGCAAGGCTCTTGCAGTTTGGACATTCACTGGTATTTTGGACCGGGCCTCCTATTCTATCGATTTCGGCTCACTAGCACCTAGTCTGCCCGCGGAACACAGGAGTTTTGGGAATCTCCGGTAGATGTGCACTACTTCGGTTCACCTGGACGGCGCAGGCTAGTTAAACAGTTAAACCACCTGGACCTCCTCCAAAGTGCCTTTCAATATTAGATACTTCTCGTACACATTTTCTGATGTACGAACTGAGACTCCAGGCCCTTGTGAGACGGGATTGAGTACTTTAATTGAGATACTTTAAGGATTGCACTCAGACACAAGTGGTGAACACAAGAAAGGCCTTTACCAACCATCATCATCATCATCATCATAATCATCGTCATCATCATCATCATCATCATCATCCACTGTTACAGGGAATAGCATGCGCCCAAGGCATACTTGGATATACTGTACGTGGAGTGATTTTGTTTGGAGAACTCGCTCAGCTGTCAGGTGAGGGCGTTCCAATCGCCAAACAATTGGGCTTCAGTTGGTTTCCTGGGCCCTACTTGCTCCTCATTAATGATCCGGCCATCGTGCGGCACATCCTGAAAGACGAGTTCAACAAGTACTCCAAGACCCTCGGACTCTCCAAGACCGGCGAGCGTTGGAAGTGTGTGCCGGTGCCGAACGAACATGGTGGGGCTTTCTTCATGTTTCCTCATGTGTTGTGTCATTGTGGGAGGGAGAGAGATCTGTACTATATATCTGTAGATCCACGCTCCAGGGAAGACCATCTCATGTTCGTGCTCATCTCATGTTTCTTCTCATAGTCTCCGTTGGACCATCCAAGAAGAACCTGGAGTCGACCCGGAACTCGTACCGGGGAAAATGGGGCTTCCAGTTGGTACAGCTGTATAGCTGGAGCATTGTGGACATGGGTGTCCTGTTTGGAGATCAAGTAGTGCAGGGTAGTCCTGTTACCCATGTCCAGGATGGTCCTGCTACCTGTTTTTTGCTTCGGGTCATGTCCCTGGACGTTGGACTCACCTCGAATCCGATGGATTGTGAGTCTCGGGTCCCAGGAGTCCACACTCCCAGCTCTCATCGGAAGTGGACAACAAAGACCTGACCTGTTTGGAAGGAAGATGGTCATCCAACAAAAACGACCGCCATCCACGTAACCATGATGATGGAACATGCATGCGTAGATGTGCGTAGTGTACTACGCACCACACCTGAAAGTATCGGGGCGTGGTGCGTACTACTACACACCTGAAAGTATCCTCGGGCTCCACGGGAACGGATGCGATTCGGTACATCAGGGAGTCGGTTTTGCAGCCACCGCAGAATGTATCAGAAAGTTGTACGACATAGGGGTTTATTATGCTGCATATGGTTTATTCATATACGTTTTTTGCTGGTTTTGGGAGGATCACACGTCCGTTTTTCAGGTTCTGCTTATGTGTCCTTTTGGATTGGCCCTTTGGGCTGTTTGGCAAAAGCGCCAATCCATGACATCAGACTGGGACACAAGTTATCCAGGTTCACACCACAACGCCTGGCCACGCAGCCAAGTATTTTGTTCAGGGATGGAGGTGTTGGTTGCAATCCCAATTCATGTTGAGCGCCTGGGCTGCAACTAGTGAAACTGGCGCTTTACAGTACATCGGCTGCATGCAAGCAACATCAAAATGAGGCATCAGCTTGACATGGTGGTGAAGCTGTTGAGGCCAGTTTCATGGGACTATTGCCAAGGTGCAAGTGCTGTTCAGATTGTTGTCATGTTCTGGATCGTGTTGCGCTGCCTGACCGACTGACTGACTGACTGCTTTGACTTTGATGTTTTGACTGACTGTTGATTGTTTGACTGACTGTTGATTGTTTGACTGTTGACTGTCTTGTTTTCCTAGCCAAGCATTGCTGCCAATTTGCTTGATGGCTGCAGGTTTCTGTGATACGCGGTTTTACACCTTCCACATCAAGAAGCAGCTGATGGAAGACCTCAAGAAGGAGCTGCGTGAAGCTAGCTTGACTCTAGCCAAGCATACAGAACCGCCAGACATGTGATTAAAAGCTGGGCTGTTTTGACTTATGTTGAAGTCTTACTTTTGTTTGCTCAAGGAATGAAATTGACATTTACAAAGAAGATGACAACCAAACGTTGAGCTGCTCAAGCCCTGAAGAGTGCCCCCTGATTAGATTGGAGTTGCAAAGTTCATCAAAACAAAAACCACCCAAAAATGGATGCTGCAATGAGGCTGATGCCCAGCAACGCATTGGGCCAGCAACCTGGGGGTCTCAGTTTCTTTGCTTTACTGACTGCTGTATGTTTCAACATGTTTCTAACTGCAAGCTACTTTGGACTGACTGCGATGTATCTGAACTCCTGCATGTCTTTCTGTTTTTGGACAGTGCTGCTGTCACTCTTTGGCCTAGGTGGGACTGCCCACCATTTGCTGCAGGAACATGAAGGCCAGCGTCAGTTGTGAGTGTGTGGGTGTGGCATCTTTGCACTTACACAGTTTGAGTGCGCTGGCATTGCTGACAATCTGCTTCTTCACTCTTGTGAAAAATGCTGTTTGGCTCAGCATTTTGGGTGGGCGCCTAGCAGCCAAGACAGACGGCTGCCATGGCGGACGCACCACGCACGAGCCTTGAGGGCTCCTCAGCCATGGCTCCTGCGTCTGCCTTTGAGGCACAAGTTTGTGTGCAAGACACCCTGCGGGGCCGGCTGCTTGACTGCATTTGCTTGAGACTGGGTTTCGTGGCTCTTTCTTGCTGCTTGCAAGTTGCATGGATGCTCTGACTTCTTTCTTGGCTGACTGACTGGACTGGCTGCCTGGCTGCCTACTTGGCTGGCTGCTGGCTGTGATTCTGACTGACTGACTGACTGACAGTTGATTGAATGAGGTTTTGGTTGGTAATGAGAAGGTGAGTGAAGTCAGGATGAGAAGAGACAAACTTGTGGTTTTCACATGTGGTGCAAAATGAGGGAAGAGCGCACAATAGCCTTCCTGCTTGCTGCTGCGCGGGTGGAAGGGAATGTGGAGTTGCTGGAGCCAGGGAGTGCCAGAGCTGCGTTTCAGATCAAGAAGCCATGTCACAGCTCAGTATTATGTGCCCCTGGCTTGGTCGCGCCTAGGCACTGGACAGGCCAGCGTGTGGAAGATCACCTTTTTCACTGACTTTGCTCGCAACATTGTGGCAGCGAAGATGTCCAAAGCCCAGTATTGCGCATGCAGTGTGTTCAGACTAGTTTACGGCAGCTCCTGCAATCTGTTTGCTTGTCTGATTGCTTTTGCTTTGTCCTGCAATCTGATTGATGAATGACTGGCTGTCTGCCTAGGTTTCCGCTGTGCCTCCACGCTCCTGTATCTGATGCGGCGGCTGAGCCAGAGGAGCTGGTCCCGCCAGCAGACAAGCATGGCCTCAGCTGGAGTGATCGCCTGTGGGTTGGGAATTGCCCACAGTGGTCGCTCCTTGTCTGCAGTTTGATTCATTTTATATTCATTTGATGGTGTCACTACTTCATATAGATTCATTTTAGATTTTTCATTCTGCAGTTAGGTTCCACTTAAGTCAGCCATGACTTCTTCAGGACGGAGGACGACTTGAAGGCAATCATGGTGGGTGCAAGCGGCATCCTTCCCAGGAAGGTGCGCAAGGCCGGTTCCGGCCAATCGGTTACATGCTGGTTCGTGGACTATGACACAGTGGACCGTGCTCGCACCACCAAGGAGCTGTTCGACTCGAACAAGCCCCTTGTCTTGGGACTTGTCTTTTTCTGTGTTGATATCATTGATATTACAATATTGATCAACATCACTTATTTTTTGACATGACTGACTGATTCTGTTCTGTTCTGTTCTGTTCTGCAAATGATGAACTTGTTGCTTGTTTTGGAATGTCTGAGGTGTCTGCTGTGGGTCCGCTTTGCGCCATCGAGGAGTGGCAAGGACAGCAAAGGCGGATCCAAAGATGGTGGGCTCCCTCCAGCTCCACCGCCTGGCCGTGATTGGGACGCACATGGTGAGACTGGAGGAGGGGATGATGCGCCAGGAGGTGGGCGGAAGCCACCAACACCGCCAAAGCCGCCGCCGCCACCACCAAGCAAAGCAGAAGGCATTGCTCCCAGGAGGACACCGGCTTCTCCATGGCCTTCACGTGGGACTGCCAGCGCAAAGCACCCTGCTGTGAAGAAGAAACCATCGCCGCCAGTCAAGACACCGCCGGTACCAGCTCCAACAACAGGAACGACTTCGAAGGCCGCGGGTGGCCCGAAGAAGAGGCCAGCGCCACCACCTTCCGCAGCGTCTGAGAAGAAGCCAAAGGAGGCCCAGGGAAAGGCTGCGGGGCCTTCATGCGAGGTGGAAGATTCTGAGGATGAATCATGGGGCTGGTGGGGAAGCAAAGCCTGGTCCTCCTGGTGGAAGGGATGGTCATGAAGGGGCTGATGCCATGAGATGCGATGAGAGCATCCCAAAGTGGAATTGGAGGAAGTGGCTGGCGATGATGAGCCATGCCATTTCATGCCCTTGAAGGCCCTTGGTTTCACCCCAACTCGCAGCCCTTTTGAGCAGAAAAAACGCCATTGCCTGTGATGTGTGACAATCTGTGTCTGTGTGTGTGACTGTGCTTTGTAACTAGCAAACAACGGATGGTCACGATTAACCTGCTGGTGGGCAGGCTCGCTTGCCATACGTTGGCGACGCCAGGCCCAGACACTGTCTTTCTGGCTTGAGAGATTGTCATGCTTTATTTGTGTGAATTAGCTCTGAATACACACTGGCCATTTGTGATTTTGTTTTGATCTGGTTTTGATCTGGTTTTGATCCGGTTTTGATCTGTCTTTGATCTGCGGCGTTGATTTGTTGATCTAATTTTGCCATAGTTTTGATCTATTTTTGATCTGTCTTTTGATCACTAGTGTTGATGTGTTGATCTGGCTTTGCTGGCTTTCACACAGTTTTGATCTAGTTTCGATCTGGTCTGACCAGGTTGAACCACTGGCTTGGGATAGCAAAGCGGCTGACCAGGCTTGGCAGCATTCATGGAACCGACCTGCATGGTCCCAGCAAATTTATGTTTGTGTTGTTTACTGATTTGTTTAATCGATTTATTATCATCACTCATTCAACCAAAGTTTAGTTGACTTGAACCTGATTTGCTTTTCATCCAGTCTTGACTCGGAAGTGATGCAAGTTTGGTGTGAGCTTAGCTTGGGCGCATACAAGGTCCTTCTTTGTCTACAGCCAGCAGGTTGGGAGCTGAGCCTGCCAAGCCAGGATCAAGCTCTCTTGGCGCATGTCAGTTCCCATGTCTTTTAGAGCAGGAGCCATACTTGATAAATTCACATCGCTCACTGACAGGTTGTGCCTTAATTCAAAATTCTGAGGGGCTCTGACACCTTTCCGCGTTTGCCAAGAGTTGCTGTGTACAGCTGGTAGCGTGCTTTTTAAAGGCAAGATCCAGGGATCCTGTGCCCTCATGATTGCAAGGCTTCACTTTGTCAGCTTTCATGGCTCCAGGATGTTTTGCTGCAAACCTGGTCCCTAAGTCAGTGAAGGGTTGCTAGGGAATAGCCCATGGGAGCTAGCCACAGCCGAACAAGTTGGATTTGCAAAGCCTGTTCAA